CAAATCAATTGTGCAGACATGTGTGCGTGTCTGTCCGCGTTGCCATGCATACCACCACATGTTTGAACACTGTGTTAAAGTAATATGTTGACCTTGTTAAGGAACTATTGTGCTGAATGTTGTATTTCTACCACAGGCAAAACTTCAGAATTGTAGGAACTGTACTGTTTAAATACATCTACAAACAAGCAACAAAGTCACTTTTCATGTTTTTCTTATTAAGTTCACAAAACGGAGGGCAGCTTTAACCGTGGGTGTTTAGGAAGCTACCATGTGTCTTAGTTCAAACGTAATTCGTAAAAATATTGCTCGGTAATATTAGTGGGCCACAGTAGCAAAAACTATTTAAAAATTCAGATTTTTAAATCATAGGGCCAGAAAATGTTTTAAACATACATCTGACAGCAAGTGTATTAACAGCATTGATATCAGCAACGTATGCGTGGTGTTTCCATGCCTGCTTCATGACATAGTGGTCGTAACAGATAAGGTCCTGTTGGGCTGTAAAACTCTCCATTTATTTCATCTGAAAAACACAATATTATATCAACTTTGAACTATAAACAGATGATTCTTGGACCATAAATTGTCAATAACCAACTTGCAGACTGTAACAAATCCAAATTATTCTGTCTCTTTATATTCCTAATGTGTAACATGAAGCCCTAGTCTTGCCTCACTCTTTGCAGTTTTCCACAGGCCAAGCTTGTAATCTTCAGTCAGACATTAGAGGTGACCCAGGTTTATTTGTGCAACCAAAAAAGTTCCCTGACACAATTAAAATGCTGAAATGTAATTCTGGGTCTAATGACAGGCTTGTCTTAATAAAAAATTCTTGACAGCATCCAGAGATTATTCATGTCAGTGAGTTGAAATGTGTAATAGATACCTGTGGGTGGCGTAGCGCCACCTGGACAAGAGCTGGGGCTTGATCTCCCTCAGGTGGGTGGCCTGGGTGAGGATGTGTAAATGCAGTGTGATGCTGAGAGACCTGAAACACCTGATAGCCTCAGAAAATACCACTGTTGATGTGCCATGGTGCATCCATAAGACGTACTATATTTTGAAAAAAGTGTAATAAAGTAAAACAAGCAATCACATGAAAATTGATCTGTGATGTTGCAGAGCTCTGTGCACACATCTCTGCCAACTAAAGACACACAAACAGACAGTTTTGAACCGTGCAGTTTTCATAAGACACCAATCTTTGTTTAGGAACATTATGAAAAGCTTTGCTTTCTGTAAAAAGTAGCTCGACTGCCTTTAATACATCCACTGGCTGTATGCATCCTGTGTGTTCAATGTCAACCAGCTTATCTGGATGCTTAACATTAAGTTTACATTGGTTGCATTAGTTTGAGGAAAGGACATATGTGGACATAATGCTCTAAATAAATAGAGATTGGCACTGGCAGCACCCAGAACCTACAAAGTTTTGGCATCATGTTCACTGTTGCCTCGTGGATGCAACCAAACGTGCAATTGTGAGGGGAGTGTCCTCAACAAATGGAAATACTTTGAAAAGAAGTGTAAAATAACAACAGACAGATCCATTGACAGGGTTCATATAAGGAGGAACAATAAAATGTATTTTCTATATATACATCATATATTGGGGCAGACAAATAGATATTTGCTTTAAAAAATGCACCCCATCTCCCAATTTTGCTTGAAGCATTCAGGTTTGAGAAATACAGTAAAAACAAAAAAAACAATCGTTCAGCTAAAGATGGACACAGAAGCCTTCAGGAAAGAAACAAAAATGTTTCTACCTCCGTGTAACATTACTGGCCCATACAGTCCATCAGTTTTTTAGAGTGGCCAATGTGCCTCACATGTTGACTGAGAGGAGGCAAAAACTGATTGTTAACTGACGACTGCTTCTGCAGGAATATGCTCAAGTTTAATTAACTATTAAAATGGATTGCAAGGTTGCGTGTCGGGCAAAAATATGATGAGAAAAGCTTGTGAGTGTCGTCTGAGTAGTTACAAGTGTGTGTATGAGGGGGAGCAGTGTGTGTGTGTGTGTGTGAAGCTGGTGTGTGCTGTCCTCTGTTGCAGGGATTGTCTTGATATTCTCATGCAGCCTTATTCATATCTGATGTTGACAGCAATGTTATGGGGGCAGTTTATTAGCAGAAAGTTGTCAGTATGTTTGAGGTGCAGTTTGGTTATTCAGATCTAATTATTTGTGCAATCTGAGGCTGGACGCTGAAGAACACCTTGACTTCTTTAAAAATCTTTGCTTTACTGTCGGTAAGATTATCACTGTGCAGTAGAACTAGTGATGGAACTGAGGTGTTTCGGGCTGGTAGATAAATAAATAAGTGACATATTCATTTTAAGCATAAACTAAGCATTTATGCTGGGGCACCTTAGTATGGAAAATGTGACATTGAGTTCAACCAGTTATTCGAAGTGAACATAGGTTGTGCCAGGACATTGTGCTTAGGCAGACTAAAAGTCTTGGGTGCACAGTCTGTACCGTTTAGTTCTCAGGGCTGGCTGAGGTGGAGCAGCTGTGGCATTCGCAGTATCATAGAGCAGCAATAGCTCGACAAATGAAGAATCACTTTCTCCAGAAACCATTTTGTCGTCTGGATGTTGCAGAGCATGATGTGAACACGCAGGACCAAACGGCCATGTATAATGGCAGATTTTATGTCATGTGTGTCCTGTTGCGTTCAGATGACTGCCGGGATCTAATGAACTGATAAAGAAGCTTTTCACGCAGTATAAAGCAGATACCACAACACATCCAAAGTACTAACAACTCGCTTTCCGGGGCCTTGTTTCAATGAACCTCCCACCTATTTCTTCCTCTCCCACCATGTGTGCACCGTGTGCTTAGCACTCGACACCAGAGTCACGCAAAGTGAATTTCGAGATCATGTAAACACCATCACCCCTACACTGGTCGTCAAAATCAATAGTTGCATTCTCTCAGTTGCTCACGCTCTCACATACGTGTAGTGTAACATGTCTTCACTATTGTACACATATTAGCCAGTCAAGTAATCTACAGAATGCTTCCGCACATGCAATGCATGAAGGGTTTTTGTTTCAGCCCATTGCACATGACGATTGTATTTTGGTAAGCTTACAATAGATTGAATAGTAGAACAAAAATATCTGCACCATTATTGATTGATTAGTCTTTTCCTGCAAAACATCTATAAAGCTGTTAAACATGATTTTACCCCATTAAGCTTTATAGTAAACCCGAGAGACGCAAAGTTAAATATACAGCCATAGAAATCTATAAAAATCAGTACATTATTCACAAATGTGCCATTAATGTATGCGACAATAGATGTGATTAAATAAAACATAAGCCACTGACAGACAAATACTGTTGAAAATCTATCATCATCATGGTGCACTGTATCCAGGTTTTAGATCATTTGTAACAGCAAGAGAAATGAATGCAAGTTTATGAAACTGTCAGAGAAATGTTGAATTGTGCCCCTCAAGATAAGCACTTGGTACATGGCCATCAGAAGCAGATTTTTATTTTTATTTATTAGTTTTATTTTTATATTTTTGCCCATTTGAATGGATTTCTTAGGTTTATGTAATGTTTCTTTTTTGGATGGGTATGTCATCATATTATCTTTGCACCAAAATCTGTTAGCATATTAAGGGCCTGGGGAAAAATTCAGATTACTCCTGTCATCGTTTAAATTTAGCACAGCCCATGACACACCAAATGAGGCAGGAATGGTTTGCAATCATTGCAACCTGTCACCCAGTCTGCGTGTTGCAAGCAGTGCATCAGTTCATATCTCTACTTTATTCTTATTTGCACAAAACATAGGTTCGAAAGAGTCAGCTGGAGTCAAACAGCCTCTGTAATAATTTGCATTAAAGCATAACCTGGTCCACCTTTAATGTATACATATGTATGATGCTTTTCCTTCATAGGCCTGTGTATGAGTGGGGCTATGGCCTACACACACACACACACACACACATATACATGTGATATATGTGTCTGCTTTAATGTAATGTTTCAATTTATTTCTCTGGCTTACTCTATTTTTTTTATAATAGAAATTGTTTGGATCTGTTTACCTACCGCTAGAATGAATTTCTAAAGTGGATTAAAAACATTCAACATGAGACATTTGTTGATTGGCTTTTGCTGCTCCTGTTTTAATGCTTGTGTTGACAATCATAATATTGTCCCAACATTAAATGGTTCCTTGCAACAGTTTTTACTTGTTGATTGATTTTGGTCACACTTGTCCATGAACTGCATAAACTGACAAGCTTCGGGGTTTTTTTTTTTTGTTTTCGTTTTCTGGACTGATTTCTTTCATTCTGCCTGTGTACCTTATTTCTGAGTTGTGTCCTCGAAGAGATAGGGTGAAGATAGTTTTGAATGTTATTATTTAATCTTCAGAGAGAAAGAAAATATGTGTGAAAAAAGAAAACAAGTCTAGTAAAAATGAAACATGCCAGAACACATCAAGTCACCCTGATATGTGTTGCTGTCTTATATACATCCAGAGCACTTCTTTTATAAATTAACCTCATACAGTGTGCTGTGAAAGTTGTTTTTTTTTTTTTGTTTTTGTTTGTTTTTTTATATTCATTTAAAAGTATATTTGATTTTAGTGAGAAAAAAAAAAACTGCCAGTGCTCACCAGGGATGCGTTTTAACCAGCACTGTTGTGGCTGGATGAACATCTCATGGATGAAAGGAAAGCAAAGACAGCAGATGGATTCAAAAGCTACAAAATAATAGAGTTCTTTAATTCATGTGGGGATGCCCAACCAAAATGTGGACCCCAGCAGTTAAACTTTACTGTATTTGAACAAGACCAGATCAGAACTGGATGGCAAGTGGCCAGTTTTAGGCTATTTTTTCCAGAGTAGACTGAGTCATGCCTTATTATTATTTATAATATTACTTGTTTCTACAGGAGCACAGCTATCATGACTTCCACCCTGTGTGACTAAGCTCTTTCTTTCTCTCTTCTTTTTCTGTTTTGCAGAACCGTGACAGAATGGTCGACTGTATGAGCAAAGTCATGCTGCACACGGTCGTCTCATGCTGGCAGCCATTCCTGGGACTGGCCTTCATGGCTGTCTTTGTGGGTTCTACCTTTGGATGTCCCTCGCGCTGTGAGTGTTCAGCGCAGAGCAAGGCAGTTGTCTGTCACCGCAAGCGCATGCCCACCATCCCAGATGGCATCCCAACTGAAACCAGGATCCTGGACCTGAGTAAGAACAAGCTGACAATGATCAACCCCGATGACTTTGTTGCCTTTCCTGGGCTTGAGGAACTTGACCTCAGTGGAAATGTTATCAGCTATGTTGAGCCTGGAGCTTTTAATGCCCTGTTTAACATGCACTCACTCAGTCTGAAGAGCAATCGTATCAAGCTCATTCCTCTGGGCGTCTTCACAGGCTTAGCAAATCTTACCCGACTGGATATAAGCGACAACAAAATCGTCATTCTCCTGGATTATATGTTCCAGGACTTGCACAATCTAAAGTTTTTGGAAGTGGGCGACAATGATCTGGTTTACATTTCTCACCGTGCATTCAGTGGACTTTTAAGCCTGGAGATGCTAACCTTGGAAAGGTGCAACCTTACAGTTGTACCCACTGAGGCCCTTTCTCACCTGCACAACCTGGTCAGCCTCCATCTACGATACCTCAGCATTAGCACTTTGCATCCATACTCATTCAAGAAGTTGTTCCGGCTGCGGCATTTAGAAATTGATAATTGGCCTTCACTAGACCATGTGCCAGCCAATACGCTACATGGCCTCAACCTGACGACGCTGTTTATAACCAACACCAACTTGTCCTCCTTCCCTTACCAAGCCCTGAAGCACCTGCCCTACCTGACGCATCTCAACCTGTCCTACAACCGCATCAGGCACGTTGAAGGGGGCATGTTGATGGAACTGGTTCGGCTGAGAGAGCTGCACCTAGTTGGAGCTCAACTGACCACCATTGAACCGTATGCCTTCCAGGGCCTGCGGGGTCTCAGAGTCCTCAATGTTTCTCACAATCGACTGGACACACTGGAAAAGGGTGTTTTTCAGTCTCCGGAAGCTCTGGCGGTTCTGCTCATCGACAACAACCCCTTAGTGTGTGATTGTCGTCTTATGTGGATCCTGCAGAAAGGGCACTCCCTCTTCGGGGATTCGCAGCCAGAATGCAGCACACCTGAGGGAATTCGTGGCCGGCCTTTTAAGGAGTTTAAGGAGACTCTCCTGTCTTACTATGTCACATGCACCAAGCCAAAAATTCGTGAAAATAAAACACAAACAATTACTGTGGATGAGGGCCAACAAGCGATGTTGCGGTGCAGTGCAGAAGGAACACCAAGGCCCATTGTGTCTTGGTTGTCCCCACGTCGACGAGTGCTGACAAGTAGGAGCCATGGTAGAGTGACGGTCCACAACAATGGCACACTGGAGATCAAGTCAGCAGAGATACAAGACAGCGGAGTGTACCTTTGCCTTGCCTCCAACACTGCTGGGAATGCCACCCTGATGACTTCTTTGGCGGTGAAAAGTCTGGGATCGCTGTATGCTAACAGGACCCAGTACTACACAGATCCTAGCAATACCACTGCCAATGGGACGACTGGTGTGACCCTCGGTCTGGACCTTAAGACTATTTTAGTGTCAACAGCTATGGGTTGCTTCACGTTCCTGGGAGTGGTCTTGTTTTGCTTCCTGCTCCTTTTCGTTTGGAGCAGAGGAAAAGGAAAACATAAAAACAACATAGATGTTGAGTACGTGCCTCGGTCAAAGTCTAATGGCACTAACGTTGACTCTGCAGAAGGACAAGCTGGTCCTCGTCGGTTTAACATGAAAATGATGTGACTTCTTTTACAGATCCAAGACTGGACTGTGGAACTGCCCAAAGTACAATGTATTTTTTTGAAAATAGGATGACTGAACTTCTCACTGTTGCAGGGAGAGAAAACTTTGGGGCATCACAACATGATGAGCAGTACCTTAAATCACTGGATCTTGACATAATGCTTGGATACTGTGTTTCAAATATGAAGAGTGTAGTAGGACTTAATTGCCAGCGGGCAACTTCTCGGATGAGGAGTGGAAACAATTGCCACCATGGGGACCTGGACGGGAATAGGTGTCATTTATCAGCTTTTTGAAATTTATATGCCTAAAAAGAACCCTTCAGTTTTGGGTTGGCTCTACAGACTCAGTTGAACCATGTACAGTACAAATTTGTATCTACGCTATTAACCTACTTTGTTTAGTCTTGCGCCATGCTTATTCACTGAACAAATCAATGAAACAGACCATTCTTTCCTATGTTCAATACTTTGCATATGTGTACCTAATGCTTCATTATGTACATGTATGTACATATTCATTCAAAGGAACTCTTCATAGCAATATTCATGGGATGCATTAGCCAAAATTGATATAACCCCACATGTTCAGCAAGAACATTCTTCAGACTTTTGAAGTTTCCATTGATTCAGGAAGGGCTTCTATGGCTGATGATCTGTCCCTGCTCCCCCAATTGACTCCTAAATATTAATGAATATATATTATTTATGAATAAAAAGAAAAGGAAAAAAGATTTTATTTATAAAAAAAAAAAAAAAAAACTAAAAATTTTACAAAAACAAAAATCAGTCCTTAAACACTGTTCAGGATTTAACATACCACTTGGATTATCATAAAGATGACCCAGTATTGGTCAAAGTACCTACATGAACCACCTTTTTGTCCTATTTTTGTCTCTTTTTATTCCTTTAACTGTACCTTTGCTGGTTGGCAAACCACATGTGTCAATTTTACTACAGTGACATTTGCATCATTTTCCCCAGTAGGAAATTTGGACTTTGTTGTGGTAGTTCTTCATTTTGTTGTTGAATCATTTAGATTGTGAAAACTTCAGAAGTAAAAGTAAAAAAAAAAAAATGTATGTGAAATAAATGAAGATGTATTTGTACCATTGAGTTTGACTAAATGACTATTACATAATGGAATTCTCTTCTCTTCAGCCTCACCGATGGATCATCACTTTGTGTCCGTATAGTGTAACTTCAGTCTGTCGTTGCAAAACCGGAACAATGAATTTGCAGTTGTTTAGAAAACTGAATGCCTAAATCTTCTGACACATTAACATGCAAAACTTACATAGTTGTCATTTGGTGAGACATTCGATTCAGTTTTATTTCTTTGAGAAAGCACTTGGTGACAGAGAGAAAGAAAGAAACCAGAACCAGAACCAGGCTCAGGGAGGGCACCCATCTGCCGTCACTGGTTGGGGTGAGGTAGAATACATACATACATGTTTTTTTGTTTTAAATTGTTATTTTTAAATAGCAACATACAGTATGAGGTCACATTTATATGGTACAGTGATGCACAGCGGCAACGCTCCACTGTACGTTCATAACAATAATGTACCACAAGCTTTGCGTAATTATTGTTAATGTTTAATTTATGAGTTCCTATAGAGGATAAACTGTGGCTAAAGATGTGAAGCAACTGACCTGTAAATAGCCCTGCTGTTGCATTTCTTATCACATATGAATTCATTAGGTTTTAACACCTTCAGTTACAATTTCTTTCAGAAAATAACTTTCCCCTAAGTGGGAATGTCTTTGCTTCACAAATCAGTGAGCAATTGAATCAGTAATGACCACACATGAGTTGGTCAACCACCCACTGTACTGGCTGAGCTGGTGTGTTAGTAGAGCTGCATCATTTTCAAATATCGATAATTGTTGCATGGCTACATTTAGTGTATTGTAATTAATTGCAATTGCAGACCACATTGAACTCTGTCATTTCTTTAGGCTGAGTCGTAGCAAGCTCATGATTCTAGGCCCACATTGTGACTTTTCTTATTTCTTTTTGGCTGGCTGGTAGCTTGTCAAATGACTCACAGACCCAGGTGTATTAAGTGCGTATGCATTGCAGCACCGAGTGTTGACTTTGTTAAGCTGCTGTTGGACTGAGAGAGCCTACACCTGCTGTGCCTTTGTGTCTGCTGAAAACTGTTAGGCCAACTGCAACTACCTCCAGATTGTTTCCCTCTTTACCAATTGCAAAGCAACAAAACATGAACAAGAATGTCTTCAGCGAACATAACACATAACATACACTTTGTACAAGAGAGAGACCGCACCATAGACACTGACATTATTGTACTGTTATATTCCTGTAATAGATAACTGCAAACTAAGCTCCAACGATTTAGCAAATTTTCAGTGATTACAGTGTGATACCCTCACGTCAAACTTTGGACTCGATGATGATGCCACTCCCTGCGGACTGCTACCAGGTAGTATGTGTATACACCGTTTAATCCTCACTAGGGTCGCGGGGGCTGGAGTCTATCCCAGCTGACTCAGGGTGAAGGCAGGGGACACCCTGGACAGGTCACCAGTCTATCACAGGGCTACACTTAGAGACAGACAACCAAGCACACTCACATTCACACCTTCGGACAATTTAGAATCACCAATTAACCTCAACATGTTTTTGGACTGTGTGGGAGGAAGCCGGAGAACCCGGAGAGAACCCACGCTGTACATGTGAACTCCACGCAGAAAATCCCTGGCGAGACTGCGACGCGAACGATCTTCTAGCTTCGAGGCGACAGTGCTAACCACCGAGCCACCTGTAAGAAACCCAGTGTGGTCCAATGTAAAAATGTCAGATTAAACTAGATTATCATTATGCAACTCAAGATTGTATAATGAAATCACAGCTGTTGTTTCTTTATGCTACTCACAAAAAATACGCATTTTTGCAAGAATAAATACGTAAGTAATCACAATAGAACTACATTTCTGGTGAAATGTGAAGGAAGAATTCAGACACTCACAGTCTGACAAAAGACACTGTCTCAAAGTCTGGTGCTTTGACCACGGATACTTCTGTGGCACTTGCTAGACGGCAGCAGGGCGAACATGCTGTGGCTTGGCTGGGTATTGTCTTTGAGTGTCCTCTGGGATCTGCACAGACAGCTCATCTCACAAGTGTCACTGATGCTCGGTAGATGGTACTGATTATGTTCTAGATGGTTTAAATCTGCCCCAGCAGAGGCTTTCTGACGCAGACCATGCACATCCTATACTAGTTTACTAGTTTGTAGTGTTTCAACTTAGGATGCTTTCGACTGCTCCTTTGTAAAAGCTTCAAAAACTTCGCAAGTCCAGTTAGTTTTGATCTTTCCTTGTACCAGGACAGAGATGTGTGATGACCGTGACACATTCACTGTCATGCTAATTCCCATGAACCTACATCTGTTCACCTGCTCCATCTCAGCTCCACAGATGTGAGGATTGTTTTCTTTGGCCCATTGCGCGACATTGTTGATTTCTTCCAGATATAAGTTCTCATCATATAATTTTAGGTGAATACACTGACATTGTTGGGGCTTAGCGTGTGCTCTTCCTTTTTTTAAAAACTTGCCAGCACTGAGCACATTCTGTATCAGTAGAATAGTAGTTTTTTGTGTTTTTTCTGCGACGAATGTAGGCACAGAGGAAATCCATGTTTGTTTAAACTGTATGACAAAAGGACATAATATTTAACCCATCGTTACCGCCATCACAGTTCGTTGTATTGTTCCTCACTGAACTTAGATATATTTTAAACAGCAGGCTAAAAACTGCTTCAGTTGCAGATCAACAGAACATAATCTGCTGATATAATATTATTGCATATATTAAGAAATCTTGCTGAAGAACGCTGGTGGTGTTTTATAATAATTGGTTCCAGTCTGCATTAACAACCGAGTCTACTTGTATGACACATCAAGACTTATTGGCTTTTTCTTCCCATTTTTTTTTTTATTTATTCTTGCTGAGAATCATGCATCTCTTATGCTGTCCCTCATTTGTGCAGTCTCATTAGGAGCCACCGAGTAGCTTGGCTTTCTGAGTCTACAGTCCCCTGGGCTGCTTCAGAAATCAGAGCAGCGAATGCTAGAGCTCCTCCAAAAATACAAAAGAAACAAGGTTAACTTTGTAGGTCACCAATGCCCCCTGTCCTGAGCGTTGGTTTTGTCAAATTACATAGAAAATGTCTTCCTCGCGCAACCTGTTAGCAGGATTTTGCATTTATGTACAAATGAGGCGTCTAAAGTAGAACCTCATTTTTCTCTTCTTGCATAATGAGGTCTTTGCTTTCTCACATGCATGTGATACATATACTATGTGTTCTGATTAGTACTCCAAGAAATAATTTGCCTTACATGTGGCATGTTTTCCTCTTAAGAAATCTACATTTCTACCGCCTCTTTTCATTTTCATTAATGGCTCCATGGACATGTGATCTCTACAATCACGCTTGTAGCACGTGGTATGTTTCAAAGGAAGTCTCTTGGAATACACTGATATTATGATGGAAAACTGGATGTGTACAAAACTGTCAAACGTGTGTGATATTCAGAATAATCTTTTTATACTAATTGGCTCCATTTTTGATTGGATTGGTGCATTTGGATTGCATCTGTAAACCTATTAGTACTGTATGGCTGTTTGTCCCCCTCTTATCAGTTATTGACTGATCTGACCACTCAGACTAATTAGTGTGAATAATTTCGCAAAACAGATGGGAGTCTCAGCCTTAAGTGATTAAGGCAGTTTCTACTAAAATAGAACATTTCTCGACTCAAGCTGCACAGGAAAAAGAAAGAAAAAAATCAAAAATCCTGACACACCACTGTAATAGTTCTCAATCAATCAAATAGGTCGTTTATTTCAGTCATTAAAATTGAAATGACGTGCATTTCCTCAAAGGTCAGAGACACTTCAGAACTTTTAATTCCGTGATTAATCAAGTAGTGCTAAAAATGTGTGAGAAAAAGATTGTAATGTACTTTTTTCTGGTGCCAATCCTTTGCCTGCATTGTTACTAATTTTATACCACAGTAATTAGAATACATGCTTGATGAATTTTGCCAAAAAAGTAAAGAGAACATTATGTTCTTTTGCATTTAAAATGAGTGTAGACTGATAGTTCTCAAACATTTTCTCTCAAGTCGCCTCGTTGCCGATCGAGATGCCTTTTAATCGCACTACATCTGCCAATAACCTGAAAGCCTGTCATTACAGAGCATGTTCCACCTACAGCAAAGACTACAGCAGTCTACAGACATTATGATGTGTATATAAAACATGAAGAGCAAAAGAACAGTCTTAAAGGACATCATTTTTATTACTGTCATCTAACCAGAGTGACAGTCAGATGGGAAGATGAATGTATCTGTAAGACAGGTGACAATAATCATATGCTCACTTTGTGGCAAGCATCAAAAGCATACATTATGATAGAAATGTGTAATTCAACTCAGAAGAAGAGAACAAAAGGTCATACTATTTCTGTTCGACTGTC